CTTACTTCTTTTCCAGTTTACGCTTGTGTCCCAAGCTTGCAAGTTCGAAGAAGAGTATTGTATTGACCTGAATCAAGTTGTTTGCCTACCCGCCGTTACGTCTTAGCTAGGAATGAGCTGTGAACAAAATCGCTCCTATTACACTCGTAGTCTCTAAAGGATGAGAACCCACTATGTAGCATCTACATCGATAATTCAAGCATTGTATACGTCATTAGTACGATTCTTTGTAGGGCAGCTCCGGCTAAAGCAATTGTAGCAGCTCCGGCACCTATTGATTTAGCAACTTCTAACATCTCGATCTCGAAAGATAGGAAAGATCTCCCTCCAAGCTGTACATATGACTTTCATCGAATACGGCTTTCCACAAAATTCTATAGGCCGCTACTATGGGAATCGCTTTCGCTTTATTTTCCTCTAGCTATACTAAGATGTTTCAGTTCGCCAGGTTGGTACTCTTAAACTAAAGAGGGGTAACTAGTAGATAAAAGAGGGTTGGATACGCCCCTCTACCAATATCTATACAAATAGAATAGTCCATTTATACAGAATGGTAAAGAGCGCGAAGTCGAGATATTGATGAGAAAGGGGCTTTTCTCAAGGCCAAAGAGTGCTCTTTGAAGACTACTATGCCTCCTTACGAATACAAGAGTGTTTTTTTGTTTTGGGTATAGGACTCATGAAGCTATCCTTCTTCTTGGATCTCAAAATTCAAATGGAATTTTATCACCCAGGTTTGTTCGTCCTATTCTGATATTCAGGACGAAGAGGTACTGGATTCTCTTTCGGATAGGCCCTGAAGGAGAAGAAAGGCTGAAATGCCAATCTTTTTCTTCACTCTTTAGAGGGGAAGTATGCTTTGGATTTGCTCAGTGATACAAGTATGCTTGCCAACCCTGCTGCATTGTCTTGATCTCTCCCTGGGATCCGGAACTTGGATCTGGGAAAGGAGGCTTAAGAAGAATATGACTCCATATGAGTAGCTCCTTGTTTATTACTCCGCTTTTTCACTCTCTCATTATTAGTTAACCATTTCATTCTATTGAATCTGTAGTACTTTGAGTTTTGAACAATAGTTAGAATTTATTATTAAGCAGCAGGCGATCGTGTTTTTCACAGGATTTCTCGTTACTCATGTCAGCATTCTCACTTCTGATATCTCCAGGTCTTGTCACCAAAAACCTTCCCGATTGACAGAATGACGGAACGGAGCAGTTATTTTTCCTGACTAGCAAGTGGACAGGCTCAGATGGTGTAGCTGATGTCTTGCTAGGTATCTTTTTTGGCCAAGTCAGGCAGGATAGTCAAGTCCATCTGAGCCAGAACGAATCCTAGTCAAATTAATCTCTAAATGCTTTTGGCATTCTTTTCCCTCGCATTTCCCTAATTATTTTATTAATATGAGAATGGGAGCAAATGAGGAGGCATCGAGTCGAAGAAATGAATTGCTCTTTCAGAAGCGAATGCTTTGGAATATTCCATTCTTGTAGCAGCCACCACTTCGGATCCTGCTCCTCTGCAATTTCTGGCCCCATATTCAGGGTGTGCCATGGGGGAATATTTCCACGAGCAATCCGGACCGTATTGAAAAGGTTCCTAAGACACAGCCTCTAGAGTGGACGAGAAAGAAAGGATTTTTTCTCGGAGCAACCCCCAGGTTCCAGACCCAGGAGTTCACTTTCCCGCATGAGCATTCGGTACATATATAAGTTAGTGGAAGAGTCAAAGGGTCACCACTACTGAGGATCTCCCCCCTTATCTTAGAAGGGTCGTCTGAGGGTTTGCCACGGTTCATTGCTGTGCTTACACACTAGGCTACCCTTCTCCGAAAGCTCCGCAGAATCTGCTATTGGATTAGCCATTTTTGTTATTACTTTTCGAGTCTGATTTGGGTCCTACATTCTTCACTACCTTAACTACTATATTTATTGAGGTGAAGGTCTTACTTAGTAGGCAAATTCGAGCTGTTATTTTAATTCAGAGACCAGACGACTTCAATACTGTTGCTTCTATGGCCTTGACGCAGACATAAGCACATTTATATTATGAGTTATTAGGCGTGCAACTTCCAGCTCTATGCTATGTATGGTAGTCATTTGACTGGGAATCCCTGATAAAAGCTTTTAGTCCATGCCTGGCAGTTTCAGCCGTGGTCCAGTCCAGCACCCTCTTTTCGATCCAAGAGTCGCATGAGAAGAAAGCTTCCAGATTCGCTTCAGTTAGTGTTAATTAAATAGAACGGGAACCTCGTAACTATGCGAAGCCCGATCTTGGTTCCAATGCTGCAAGAGATAGAGCCGCCTCGCTATGACTCAAAGATGGTCAAAATGCTAATAGATGGGCCACAAAAGGTAGAGGAGAGGGGGTAAGAAGAGTAGACTTACTACTGGATACAAGATAGGGTATACAGCTAAAAGGGTGAGATAGAGGAATGAAATGAGCATATGGCAGGGCCAATGATATATATGCACTTCTCTTCATTGCTTTCCTGAAATGCGTAAGTGATCACCTTCGAAATGGTACCAAAAGGCCGGATCAAATTGTCTATTACAGCCTAGTGGAACCTATTCTTTGACTACTTCTTCCTTCGACTAGTGTGCTTAGATAAAATACAACGGTACCTATATCGCTCGTTGTTGAAATTGTATTTTAGGTGGACTATATGTCTTTACATCTTCTCCGGCCGATTGGGATCTCCAAGTAAGCAAAAAAAGGAGTATTGACAGCCATCTTATGTTGTTTGTCGGGATTCATTCTAAACAGAGTGAGCTCACGGACCACCTTTGAACGAAAGTGAACTCTCTTCCTCCGATCTCTATAATGGGTCTAGTAATTGCTTTAGCTGCTCGTCTCACAATTAAGTTGGTGGGTGGTTGGTCCATCTTCTTATTCCAAACCTATTCACAACTACCACCTTAACACTAAAGAAGAGTTCGACCCGATGCTTTATTTCTGTCTTAGTGAATCCCGGCAAGGTCGGCTCAAGAAATGGAAGTTGTGAGATGGAAAGAAAACCACGAAAAAAAGAACCGAATTAGGGATCAATCCATACGCGGCTTGCCTTCTCCCCTTCCCTTACGTAAGGATTATATAACCCCCAATTTTTATGAAATACAAGATGCTCATTGAATGATAAGAAATTCAATTATACTTGGAGCAGATTCAATTAAGCGAGATTCGGAAGCTATAATTTCGCCTTTCCCATCAATAGGTTTAGCCAGAGCATTTACAACACGACCCAAGTAAGCCTCCATACCATTCATCCTCCACCTCCTCGTCCATGAAGTCTGTTGACTTTCTTTTTCCGGTAAAGACAACATATGCCCTAAGAGCCTATTTTTTCACATCAAGAGGAAAGTCCCACACACAACCCCAAAAGAATAAACTGGATGGACCCCTATTCGCGCGGACTCGAAAAACAGATCTGAATTTGACTGAAATGCACGATCTTCACAGGGTCTCAAGGAGAGGACATCACCATGATGTACGCAGTAAACTTATAATACAGTTGGAAAAAAGCAAGTCAAATGTACATGCTGATATATGACTGGTTATCATTATTCCATGTAGACTATGTGCTAATTGCTCAAATTTAGGATACTCAATAGCCCATTCTCTATGGTATATGACCCTTTCAGGGTTCCTGGGTACATTTTGCAGCATCGACATCATAGTGTGCTTGGTATATGGACCACATTTTGTGCTCCTGGATCCGGGGTTGCAGTTCTACCAGTGCAAAGCTGGCTGCATCATCAATGTAATATAGAGGGAATGGTAGCCTCAGAAGAGTCAGACTTGTTCACCATTACATCGCCAAAATAGTTGTACGCGCATCACCGTTTCTTCCACATTGACGCAGACTGTTGATCTCCATGAGCTTGCCAAGGATGTGTAGGAGCCAATTCGTTCTGGTAGGTGGCCTCTTGGTCACATCCGGTAGCCTACAGTGTTCTGCCATCGCCTGCCACAGAGCCACCGCTCACAGACATATGCAAAATGCATGGAACATGTCGTTGCACTTGGTCGCACACACTATCTGAGAACGTGTCCACAAAATTCATATATCTGCTAATAGCTTGAGCTAGACCAGTTGAGCTGAACCCGACTGCGCCCGGCGTAGCAGGCCGAGTGCTATGTAAAGGGAGGAGAGGCATGCGGCTAGGTATCGATGATCAACTGAAGCATGGCTACATTCCCCTCCACCCTTGCTCTTCATCCTTGAATTCCCTTTTGGATTTGTATGCCTATTGTATCCAAAGTGTAATCTGAATCCGGTGTGAAAGAATGAGTCGACGTGAACACAAGCCGAATCCGATGCTACAACTCCAAATGGCTTTGTACGTTGCTGACTGGACAGAGGAAAGGCGGTGATCCATGTCGACGGCGACTCTACACGGTTAAATGTGTAGCCAGAATGGTAGAATCTCCTGCCCGTGACCCGCGTGCACCACGAGTTATGTTCTCCTACTCCCTCCCATGGTCTCACCGTCCAGCTTGAGGATGCAAAATTCACTAACATCACTTGGTTCGGTACAAGAAGGTTTCCACTTCTATATAGATTAGTGGAACTATTGATTTAGGGTTTAGGAAAAGTTTACAAATTAGCAAATTTTAATGGAGGTTAAAGGTGGAGGTTAGAAGTTACCTTTTTCTATCAAAAGGGTAATATTGTTTAGCTTCCAAATAAATCTATTCAAAACGTTTGATTTGCATGCTAATATGGCGATAGCCTTTTAAGTAACTTTATTATTCCTGCGAAATATTTAATCAGGGCCCGGGTAGACCCCACTAGAAAAAAGGCGTCACAAAGTCACAGTACATTTCACCATACTTTGAGTTTCGTCGTCACATTCTCAATGTTGATATTCCAATAAGTTTTACACATAAGGACGCCTCTCAGGTCAACTACGCAGTAATTATACATATTGATTTTGCACAGATTCATATACATTGGACCATTACCTATCATGAAGAAGTAGAGATTCATCACCAAACCATATTTAATCCTTGTCCCTGTGGATGACCTGAAGCTTGACCCCATGTTTGAAGTTGAGCACGATCCCATACTGAAACTCTAGCGGTGACTCCATGGCTTTTGAGTGACGAAACACGTAGTGGCTATAGAAATGAATGATGGCGAGCTTGATCTCTTGGATCGCAAACTTCTCCCCGATGCAGGCCCTTGGACCAATGCCGAAGGGGATGAAGGCGTAAGGATGCCGACACTTCTCCTCATTGCCAGCAGGGTCAAACCGCTCTGGCCTGAATTGCTCTGGCTCCGGAAAGTTAATGGGGTCCTTTGCAAGTACACCAGGTGCCAACCACACCCATGTGCCCTACATTCATAGAAAGAGGTTGAAACTTTTGGTTCGGTTAGTATCTAAGAATTCGATCACATTCTACATGTCAACAATTAAGTAACATATAAATTGAGTATTGTAAAAAAACTATATACAGGGAAAAAGGAAAATGAGTGAATGACAGGTTGAAACTCTAAGATGCATACATACATACATACATACATACATACATACATACATACATACACTCGTTTTCCTTTTGGTTGCCGCTACACCTCCCGAAAGAAAGGTGTCAAAGTTTATTGGTGACTTGGAGATACTCATTTCTGAGTTGGCTTGGTGAAGGTGAAGAGACCATTATTTTGGTCCGACACCTTTGCTATCAAGGATGGCTGTCAGACCAGGTTATGGAAAAATATATTGTTGGGCAATGCCCCTCTAGGACACCAATTCCTAGTTTGTTTCATTTTATGCACACTAATCATACATGATGCAATCAAAGGAAACCTTAGTGTCTCCTCCTAAGGTTGTCATTCAGGCAGGGACCTAATTGGTTTGAATCTGGCGGCAAGGAATGCCTTACTTCAACGCCTAGCAAATGTTAACTTGCCACGGTGAAACAAAGAGTTATTATGGATTTCCAGCATAATTAGGCAATTTTCAAGCTAATTCAATGTGCCTGACTCTTGTACGTTCTGACGTAATAAGTAATAATAAATAACCTAGAAACTAAAAATCACATTAAAGTTTAAATATATAGGGTAATTTTAACTAGTAGAGAAAATCATGCTAAGTGGATCTATCATGTGAGTAATAAGTAGCTCTTTTTGTTACAAAGACAAAACAATAATTACACGTCTTTTCTTTGAGTGGCATATTGCTCATAATGCATTGCCTGTCACTCATGTTGCTTCTAACCCGCGACGGGGGATTATATGAAGCTCATATCAAAGAGAGTTGTTCATAGCGGCATGTAAATATGCCATTGCTGTGTAGACAGCCAAAAAGGTGTACGCAGCATGAATGGCGGTTTGGTCTTAATTTGGACCAGCTTAGATTTTTCTTTCTCTCGAGGATACATTTGTTCAAGACGTGTATGTATTCCCATATTCCATAGGCTGTGTGCATGAGTTGTATTCAGAGTGCAAAGCTTTGAATCAAATAAAATTGGTTTGATCGAAAATGTATACCTTGGGAAGGACATAGCCACCAATCTCCACTCTCTCCAATGTTTCTCGGGCCACCAATGGCGACACCACGTAGAACCTCATTGATTCCTTGACCACCTGAATTTCATGACAGGTGGATGCACCACATCAATCAAACTTAATAAAATGAGCTCATCAACTTCATTAATTAATGAACATGCCAGTGATCACGGCCATGAGTGCTTGCCTGATCGAGGTAAGGGAACCTGGTCTTGAGATCATCGGCCGTGGGCACGCGACCGCGGGGGCCGAACGCGTCTATCTCCGTGAGCAGCTTCTCCTCTACCTCCGGGTGCTTGGCGACGAGGTAGACCACCGAGGACAGCGTGAACGACGTTGTCGCCGACCCGACGAGGAGGTGCTCGTAAGTCAGCGCGCTCACGTAGTCCGGAGTGAGCAGCTCCTGCACTGCCGCGCCGCCCCGCTCCCTCGCCCCGAGGACCACGGACAACAAGTCCTTGCGCTGCTTCGACGCCGGCTCGCGCTCCCTCGCCGCCATCAGGTCGGCGACGATGACGTCCATCTGGCTGCTGAGCTCGTGGTTCACATGATCGATCTTCCAGTCGGCCGTGCCGGGTATCCTCTTGAGCACCTGCCGGAACGGCTGTTGCAGGAACGGCACGAGGTTGCCCACTATGATAGACAGCGACCCGGACAGGTCCATCTTGAGCGACGTGGTCGCGTGCAGGTGCATTTTCACGAACTCCTCCGACACCTTCACGGCCGTTCCGCCGTTCTTGACGCCAGCGCCAGCCTTGCCATCAATGTCTGTCGACACCGGCTCTCCGGACAGGCCAAAGTCTGCGCCGAAGGCCGCGTGCCCGATGACGTCGGTGAAGAGGGTCAAAGCCAGCTTTGAGAAGACGACCTCGTCTCCTTCATCGAGATTCCTCGCCGCGCGCTCGATGTAGGACTCCATGGTCGGGATGAGGCCGGCGAGGTGAGACGGTTGGTAGAGGGAGATGATGATGTTACGCATCGTCGTCCACCTCAAACCTCTGACATACAAGCACACATGCATTATTTCATTTCCTGTGGTTCTACCGGCCAGGTGGCCTCTACTTATGTAAACCGTCAATCCGTTTATTGGTCGTAGTCGTACTGTGGCTGCATTAATCATGTGTGCAATGTGTTCTCATTGTATTCTAGTTTACTATATATGTGATTTGGTCATATGGAACTACATAATTACCGATGTAGATTTATGAGAATTTGCTAAAATGTTGTCTCTCACTACTCAATCTATTCTGAATGCAGCATATTCTCTCTCTCTCTCTCTCTCTCTCTCTCTCTCTCTCTGTTTGTTTTTAATTTATGCAATCCTGTTCTACGGCGTCTGGAACTTT